GTGCCGCTGCTGCTCCTTCTCCACGTGCGTGTGCGGCTTCTGCGCGCAGGGCCTGCCACCAGACTGCCTCTTCGGCCGCACGGCCGCGCCCCCCCCCCAGAAGGCGCCTGCGACGCCAGGGTCAATCTGCGAGCCCCAGCGCCGCGCCACGGGCTGACGGACTCGGCTCCAAAGGCGCGGGAGCCAGCCCAGCAGCCCAATGGGCCGAAACCCGCCCTGAGGCTTCGGAAGCATGACCGCGAGCGAGTCCGTAATGACGTCGGGCCAGCCGCCGATCTCCTCACACTTCATCCCGAAGTCAACGACTGCCTCCAGAAGCTCGTCGCTGAGGTCCGCGGCCTTCCGCGGGTTGAGGCGGTCGCTGCCGACGCCAGTGCCGTGCCTGAAGGTCCTGGCGGCCGCGCGCAGCTCATCGGCTGAGGGCCTGGGGAGGGCCTCGCCGCCAGAGCGCGGGAGCTGCGGCCGAAACCTATCGCGGTCTCGCCTGGCCCGCCAGACCTCTGTTGACCATTGCTTCGCCACAAGCTTCACTCGGTCTGGGGCACGGGCTGGGGCCCCGTTGTACTCGTCGTCAGGGGCCCATGCCCTGGGCCCGCGCCGATAGGCGTGGAGCCCGCCTGCGCCTTCGGCCATGGAGTGACGGATCCACTCCTTGAAGCCCTGGCCACGAATGACGGCGAAGGCTGCTCCATCGGCCTCCGCCTCGGCCCTGGCCTCAGCGGCCCAGTCGGCCAAGGGGAGCAGGCTGGGACACTCGGCGGCCAGGGCCACGCGTGCTGCCCACTGGGCTCCGAGGGGGAGGCACACCGTGGACGGGGGCTTGGGCGCCCTGCTGCTCGCTTGCGCTGCTCCGTCGCCGTTGCTGCTGACGTCGCCGCCGGAGCTGCAGTCGCTGCCCCCGCGCCTGCCGCCGTGGTACCGCATGAACTGCTTGACGCCCTGCAGGTAGCAGTAGTGCTCGTCGTCAGCGATGGCCCAGGCGTCGGGGTCGCTGTCCTCCAACTCGCGGACCTTGCGCGCGTACTTGTTGCGCACGCCCTCGGAGGCCTGCCAACTGTCCTCGCACATGTCGACTGCCCGAGCCCAGCGGGCTGCCGCTCGCTCGCCAAACGGCCGAGCCGAGCTGGCGCGAGGGGGCGGGGGTGGGATCGCGCTGATGCTCTCCGCTGATGCGGCCCCCCTTCCCGCCCCCGACGCCGACGCATCGCTGACGCCTTCTCCAGTGGCCCTCGCACTGCTGGCCTCCGCTGCCGCTGCGAGGCTCGCAAAGGAGTTAACTTGGGGCTGGGGTGGGATCGCGCTGTCCCCGTCCGCAGATGCGGCTCCCAACCCCGCCCCGTCAGACTGGCCCTCTGTGACGCCGACCTGCTCACCCTCGTCGCCATTGCCACCCTCGTACTGGCTGAGGCGCCCGTAGGCGTAGTGCGTGCAGAGGTCCATCCACTCTGCCTTGTCCTGCTGCGCGTCGGGGGCGTGCAGGCGCGGCAGCCAGCCGTTGGCCAGTCGCGCCAGTGTGCGCCTGACGCCTGCCTCACCCACCTCGATGGCACTCCACCCCCCCGCGTCCACTGGGCAGGTGGCTAGCCTGCAAAGCACTGGAGGTAGGGGAGCGACGTCGCCTATGCCATTCTCCGTCTCGGTGTAGCCGTGGACGATGGGCGCGCCTGGGAGGGGCCTGCTGTAGTCACCCCGCTCTTCCAGCCAGCGCCTGGACTCGTGGTAGCTGTCCACCGTCCTGCGCAGCTCCTCCTCCCAGCAGTCGTGGTCGAGAAGGCCGAGCTGCTGAAGAATGCGCGCCAGCTCCTGCCTGCCTGCGCCGCCGCGACGCCAGGCATACTCGCATACTTCCCTGGCCGTCTGCAGGCGACGCCCAAAGTTCTGGGCCAGGCTCGTCGCAATGTGCGTCGGCAGCCCTAGCATGCGAAAGATGTAGGGCACGCAATTTTCCAACCACTCGTTCTCGTCCGCGTAGTGGTCGGGGTTGCTGGGGTTGGAGACCCACCCGCGGGCACGGCGCCCGAGCACCCGCTTGTAGCGCTTGATTGCCCTGGCCTCCATCCGCTCCGCCGCCCGCTCGTCGTTGTCCAGTTGGCACTGGGCGGGCCCTGCCGAAGAAACGGCATCCGAGCCTCCGCCGACGAGCTGATGGATCTGCGTGAAATAGTCCCCCAGATGCATGAGCTTCTTGCCCTTGTAGCTGGCCTTGGACCCCTTGATGGGGCGCGCCCTGACCTGCGTGCCGAAGCTGAAGCTCGGCGGGCCCCCGCGGCCACGATACAAACTGGCGTCATCGGGCGGGGTCTGGTAGATCCAGACGAGCTCGTTCTCCACTCCCTCGCATAGGGCGCGGTAGACCTCCGTCATGGCCTGCATGTCCCCCCCCCACTCCGATAGCGTCCCGCAACTCGTCGTGGTTCCACTCCTTGGCTGGCATAGGCCCATATGGCCTGTCCTTGGGAAAGGCTGCGGGGCCCTTGACGCGGAATGACTGGCCAAGGTCGCCCTGACAAGCCAAGTAGAGCTTGACCCCGATGTGGGGCCTGCACGGGTTGGCGTAGCCCTGCTCCGTCATATTGAGGCGCTCGCACCCGCTGACGAGGTCCAGCATATCTGCACTGACGATGAACCAATCGAGCTCAGATGGCTCCTTGACGGGGGAGCGCTGGCAGGTGCCCTTGCCCGAGTCGGCGACGTGGCCGCCCAGCTTGCGCAGCCAGTGCCCCGCGCGGAGGTGGAACCTGTCAGGCTCGACGTTCCAGTCCCCCGCCAGGACCCAGGGCTTGCCAGTGCACTTCAGCGTGGCTCCAACCTGCTGCAAGACGCCCTGGCTGTGCTCGCCCACGTCGTCGTTGTCCAGGTAGACCGAGCCCAGCAGGAAGCCTCCAGGCACGACGCCATTGATGTGCACGATGGTCGCGCGGCCCTCGGCCGCGTGGCAGCTGTCCTTGCTGCCGCCCACGCCTGGCCCGCACATGCCACGCGAGGTGCGCGCGGCCGCGCCAGTGCCGCTGCTGACGGCGCGCTGGAGGCTTGCGCCGACCGAGCTCACCCCTGGGGTCAGCACGGCGCTCCAGCCAACCTGACGACACCACTGCTCCTGCTCCACGGCGCGGTAGCCGTTGAGGTGGTGCTCCTGGATGCACAGTGCGTCGCCGAGGTGCGCCTCCGCCACCGCCTGCTGTTGTGGGTCCTGCTGCTCGCCGAGGATGGCGGTGAAAGGGCCCCATCCACTGCCGTTGAGGCTCACGATGGTGAAGTGAGGGCGGCTACCCCCGCTTCCCCCTTCTGCGGATCCCCGCGGAGCGGAGTCCTTGGAGGAGCTTCTGGGCACGAAGCTTGCGCATGGCGGCGGCTGCGGCGGCCTTGCCTGCAGCGTCGCCTGCCTCCTCGCCGTTGCCCACCTCGCCCGACACGGCCTCTGCTGCCCCCTCCTCGGTGGCCTCTTCCTCCAGGGAGTCCAAGATGACGTCGACGTTCTTCTCGTCGATCTCCTGCTCGTCGCCGCTCCCGTCACGCTCCGCCGCGGCACCTGCTGCGGCAACGCGCTGTGCCAGACGCCGCAACTCTGCGACTTGGCCGTCCCATTGCTCAGCAAAGCCAGGGGCGAGCATGCCTGAGCACTGATTAAGAGCGGCGAGGAAAGCGGTGGCTCGCTCACCCTCGCTGAGCTGGGCGCCTGGGGACGCTGGGGCAGCTGTCCCTCGCGGCCCTTCCTCCCGCTGCTGTGCTTCACGCTCGCGGAGCTGTTGCGCCAGGAGGTTGTCGATGAGCGCCTGGAGCCTTCTCGCCGGCCTGACTCTGCGCATGTTTGCCCTCCAGCTCGAGCTTGTGGGCCTGTAGTTCAGCGAGCTGCTTGTCCGCCGCCGAGATCCTGCTCGCCAAGGCCGCCGTGGTGGCCTCCTGGTTCTTCTGCTTGCGCTCCAACTCACTGAGCTGGACTGATGTAGGCTTGGTTGCTGCCAGCTCGTTTTCCAACTGCTGCGCCTCCTGCCGTTTGGATTCGAGAATGGCCTCCGCGCCGTCCACGCCCTCGATCTTCTTGATCTCACTTCGTAGCTTGCCCAATCGGCGGACACGTTCTGACTTGTCGTCAGGCTGCGACCCAACGCCTGCCGCCCCAGCGCCACCGCCATCGACTCCTGGTCCTGCTTGGCTGCTGGTCTCCAACTTTTTGACCTTCCTCCGCAACTGGTTGAGCTCGTGGCGTTCTCTGGCGTCCAGTTGTGACATGCCACTCCACCCAGAACTCGTACCAGAACCGCTTTCCCACCAGTCGTAGCCGCAACTCCTGCAGACATGCCGAGAGCCCCAATTCTTCTTGGCTCCGCACTGAGGGCAATCCCAGACCCTGGGCGCTGCACCGCTGCCGCCCGCGCCTGGAGCTTGGCCGCCCCGCTGTCCACGGCCACTACTTGCTCTGCCGCCGCCGCCGCGCGCGGCTCCTCGAGCACCACCTCCTCGTCCTGCCATTGGTCGAGCCCGCCGCGGCTGGGCTCCCAATCGGGCGACTGGGGCCGGGTGTCGGTGATGAAATATGGAAAGAGCTGTGGCCCCAAGGGCCACACTGAAAGCTTGGAAGATTGGGAATCTGACCCAAGAATGGACGCGACGGCTAGAGCCAGCCTCATGAGACCAGACATCTGCCCTGATCGCGCCACCTTGAGCCAAAATGGCTACGGATGATGATGATGATGATGATGATGATGATGATGATGATGCTGATGCTGATGATGCTGATGCTGATGCTGATGCTGCTGCTGCTGCTGCTGCTGATGATGATGGTGATGACAGTGGTAATGATGGTTGTGCTGTTTAATGGAAGTGGGGGGCAGATGGGGAAGAGAAGGATGAGGAGCACCATGGTCGTCGTCGTCGTCGTCGTCGTCGTCGCTGCCGCCATCGTAACTACCGCCGTCGCCGTCGCCGCCGCCGCCGCCGCCGTCGTCGTCGTCGTCGTCGTCGTCGTCGTCGTCGTCGTCGTCGTACGCCGTGCCCGCCGCTGTCCGGGTCATCGTTGATGGAGTAGTACACCCCCGCGTGCAGGGGGCTTGGGGCCAGCGCGGAGGCCTCGACTCGACCCGCGTCGATGGGGGGGGAGGAGGAAGAGGAGATAGGAGGTGAGGAGGAGAGAGGAGAAGAAGGGAGAGCGGGCGGAGGAGGACTAGGCGGGAGGAGGAGGAAGAGGAGGATCAGGGATGGAAGGACGGATGGCGGATGTCTGTGTTTTTTTTCCAGTGGTGTTCACACGATCCAGAATCCTGTGGATGGGAATGAAACACTGGCGGGGCAGCGGGGAGGGTAGGCGAAAGAGATGGCGGCGATAGGAGGCCTCCACGCACTCCTCCTCCTCCTCCACCTCCTCCTCCTGCTCGTCTTCCTCCTTCCTCCTCCTCCTCCTCCTCCTCCTCCGCCGTCTCCTCCTCCTCCTCCTCCTCCTCCTCCTCCTCCTCTCTCCTCTCCTCTCTTCTCTCTCGTCTCTCCTCTCTTCGCTTTCCACTCTCCTCCGCCTCCTCTGTCCTATCTGGTCCGCCTCCTATCTCCTCTTTCCTCTCTCCTCTCGCCTCTTTGTCTCTTCTCTGTCCTCCCCCCTCTCCTCCTCTTCCTCCTCCTCCTTCTCCTCCTGCTGCTCCTCCTCCTCTTCTTCCTCCTCCTCCTCTTCCTCCTCCTCCTCCTCCTCCCTCTCTTGCCCCTCCTCCTCCTCCTCCTACTCTTCGTCATCCTCCTCCACCTCCTCCTCCTCCTTTCATACTTATGTATACCATCCTCCTCCCTTCTCCTCCCTCCTCCTCCTCCTCCTCCTCGTCGTTGTCGTCGACGTCCTCCTCCTCGTCGTCATCCCTTCTAATGCTCCTCCCCTTCCTCCACCCCCACGGCAGGGCAGGAACGAGATCGAATCAGGCTAAAGGGGAGATGCTGATTCGGAGGCGGTGCGGAGGAGGATGGGGTGGAGGATGATTAGGTGGGGGAGGAAGATGACGAGGAGGAGGAGGAGGAGGAGGAGGAGGATCAACTGAGGAGGAATACGAGGAGCAGGAACGCAGCAAGGAGCCAGGATGAGGCTGGGGAGGACGGCGACGACGACGAGGAGTACTCCACCTCATTATCGTCATCCCCCGACCCTCTCCTCCTCCTCCTCCTCCTCCTCCTCCTCCTCCTCCTCCTCCTCGCTCTTCCCACCCTCTCCCGCGACTCTCCTCCCCACCCGCCTCTTCCCCCTGATTGTCATAACTATTTACGTTAGGCAAGCGTGGGCCGGCATGGACCATAACGTTCGTGATATTATTCCTCCTCATCCTCATACTCCTGAACCGCCTCCTCCTCCTCCTCTTTCTCCTCCTCCTCCTCCTCCTCCTCCTCCCCCGCCGTTGTCGTCCTCCTCCTCCTCCTCCTCCTCCTCCTCCTCTTCCTCGTCCTCCTCCTCCTCCTCCTCCCCATCCTCATCCACCCAGTCCTCCTCCACCACCTCCTCGCCCTCCTCGTCCCCCTCCTCCTCCTCCTCCTCGTCCTCGTGCCCTCCTCCTCCTCCTCCTCCTCCTAACTTCCCCTCTTGAAGTATGACGGCTTCCCCGAACAGTGATTCCACGGCATGCTCCTCCACATCCCTGAGCAAGATAACTCGCCAGGACATAATATAAATATGGGCTGGTGGGGATACGCCACGCGTCTAGAATATAGCTTCATTTCGGTACATGCCCCATCAGAGCCCAGCTACCTGAGAACCCACAACCGTGCCAACACACAACTGACTAATGCCAGGACACCATTCCTGAGACTTCAAGACATCAGCATGACTGCTGCGTCCTCCCAGCCCGAACCCGTGCCAAAACACCATCCCTGCTACTTCGGCCATACTAGCACCCGCAACTGCTGGAAACGTTTACACTGATTGCGCGCGGCGCAAAGGCGAGGAGAGCCCCGATGAGAGAACGGCCCGCCCTCCACCCTTGGAACTTCGGACACGTTCAAAACGAATGTAGCGGCAAGCGAGACCTATACGTTCACTTTGAAATCATGCCGCCCTCCACCATCCTTGCAACTGTTGCAAGCTTGTGTGATGAGTGCGCGGCGCCAAAGCAAAAGCCACAGTTTGAAAACAACCCGCCCTCCATGCTTGACGCGACTGCAGGCTTGTACAACGAATGTGCGCGGCGCGAAGGCTAGAACCACCTTTTGAAAACGACCCGCCCTCCATGCTTGAAGACTGTTGCAGCTGCCAAGCTCCAGGCCCGAAGCAGCCGCCGCGGGGAAGCCGGCGTCCCTGCAAGGGAGGCCGGCGTGCTAGTCGCGCGCACGTCTCCTGCGAATGCCGCTCGATGTGGGATCGGGCCAACAATTCAAATACGAAACGGTTGCACCAGAAGTCGTGCGTTCATCGCCAAGCGTGCTGCACAAAACTACTCTCACTCTTCTGCCAGGCAATCTCGCTCGATGCCGCGATGTGCCCATGAGCTCCAGCCGGCGTGCTTCGCATGCGACTCCAGCTCGTCTTCCCATCTTTGATGACAGATCGAGTGGAAGAGGATGGTGGAGAGGGGCTGGGACTGGCCATCGCTTGGACGTCCATTCCCTGTGTTTTGTTCGGTTTCATGAGTTTTTTTCGCCCAATGATCAAGGATGCTCCTCGATGGTCCTCGCCGGAAGAAAAATGCACACGTCCGAGCGATGCCAAGGGGATAGGGCGCGCAGGCCGCCCGGGTGGGCTCGCGCGCACAGTCGCGTCGTCGTCGTCGTCGTCGTCGTCGTCGTCGTCGTCGTCGTCGTCGTCATCGTCGTCGTCGTCGGTTGTCAGTCGTCGGTCGTCGGTCATCGTTGTCGTCGTCGTCGTCGTCGTCGTCTTCGTCGTCGTCGCCACGCGGCCACGCGCAGAGGGGGGTAGGGGGCTGCGAGAGGGCGCCCAGGAGGAGGGCAGCGCGGATGGAGCCACGGGGAAGAGCAGGGCGAGGACGAGGAGAGGATTCCGTGGGATTTGGTGGTCTTCCTGGGCCGCCGCGAGGGTGTCCCAGCGGCCCTGCTCAAAGGATGACCCCCCCCCCCCTGTCGGCTCCCTGTCGGCTCCTCAAGGGCTGGCGGCTGGCTGGGGGGGGCGAAGGGCCCCTCGATGCCCGAACCAAGACGGAGGAGGGGGGGGGAAGGAGGAGGAGTAGTAGTAGGAGGAGGAGGAGGAGGAGGAGGAGGAGGAGGGGGGAGGAGGAGGAGGAGGGAGGAGGAGGAGGGAGGAGGAGGAGGAGGAGGAGGAGGAGGAGGAGGAGGAGGAGGAGGAGGAGGAGGAGGAGGCGGCGGCGGCGGCGGCGGCGTCGGCGACGGCAGAGGAGGGGAGAGGAGGGGGAACGCAGGAGGGGGAGGAGGAAGGGCCTCGTTCAGCCCGTTGGGCACGACGCCGACCTTCTGCGGCTTGGCGCACACCGGACACCTCGGAGGTCGGTGCGCCAGCCCTCTCCCTCTCAGTCGCTGTCCTTCTGAGGTCGGACCTGCGCCAGAGGAGCATCCTTGAGAACACGAGACCCTCCGCCAGCCAACCTGAAGAGCATTCGAGGGTACCTTCCCCCAGGATGCACAAAAACATCCAACATGCGCAAAGGGCACTAGGGTACCTCCCACAGCCGACCTCGATCTTATACCTCGTTCCGACTGTAGGGCGCTCCTCCCTGTCGCACCTCCAAAGGTGTCGGCAGGGAGGGCCGGGCGATTCGCCACAGGTTTCCTCACTCCTTGTGACCCTGAAGCTTGAAATTGGCAACAACTTGGCGGACGGAGGGCTCGTCGGTTCGTAACCGTGGCTCTAGTCTTAGCGCCGCGTGCCTTCGCTGATAAAAATGCAGCAATTTCTAAAATGGAGGGCGGACCGTTTTTAATGTGTAGTTCTCGCCTTAGCGCCGCGCACACGTGTCGTAAATTATGCTGGCGAAGGACCCAGCCATATGCTATTGTGCGTACAGCGTTGTGGGCACCGCTTTCGGAGGATTTCCATCTGGGGCCACGTCACGTGTGAGAGGGTGAGTTGGTGTGCCACGTGCCGAAATGGGCGCGGCGGTGTCATGCGATCGCAGCCACCAGGGCCTTCGGTGGAGCTCTCTATGGGGCCACGAAGCGTGTGAGGGGTGTGCCGAAATGGTGCGGGGGGGCGCATGCAAATCTTGCCACTTGGGCCTTCGGTGACCCTCCCTGTGGGGCCATGCATCGTGTGACGGGTGTGCCGAATTTGTGCGGGGGACGCATGCGAACGTCGCCTCTGTGGCCGTAGGTGGGGCTCCCTATGGGGCCAAGAAGCCTGTGATGGGGTGTGCCAGCATGGGTGGGGCGGGCGCATGTGAACCTTGCCACTGGGGCCTTCGGAGGAGCCCTCTTATGGGATCACGAAGCGTGTGCGTGGTGTACCGAACTTGTAGACTGATGCGGAGAGCAAGAGTAAGGATGTGGAGGAGGGGCAGGAGTAGGAGGAGGAGGAGGATAGGGAGGAGGAGAAAGAGGAGGAAGAGGAGGAGGAGTGAGGAACGCGGGGCGCTGTCTCTTCAAACCGAGGACCCAACACGACAGGATGGTTGGGAACATGCAGCAACTTTTATGGATGGAGGGGGGTTTTCAAACTGTGGCTCTTGCCTCAGCGCCACGCACATGTTGTTTCGCTGTGTTGAAGTCCCAGGTATGGTGGCATGGCACGGTTTAGGATTGTTAGGACGGGGCCGTCAATCTCACTCGCGGCGCCGGAGTGACAAGAGTTGGGTTTTGACACAATTGAGGATTCTCAGGACGGTTGTCTTCCAATGGGGCGCTGCCCGCAATGGCCACGGGATTCTTGTAGGGACCCATGAAGAGGGAGCTAGGAGGCAGGGTGGTGTGCGACATCGTTGATGCGCCTTAGGTTTACACCTGACTCCTCCTCCTCCTCCTCCTCCTCCTCCTCCTCCTCCTCCTCCTCCCTCGTCCCTCCTCCTCGTCCTCCGCCCTCCTCCTCCTCCTCCTCCTCCTCCTCCTCCCTCTTCGCTCGTCGCTCTTCCCTCCTCCTCCTGCTGCT